GAAGTTTCACATGAAGCACACAAGTATTTCATAAGTTTATTGTATAGATCTGGACTTTCAGTGCAAAATCTTGATAAATGTTAAATATAAACATGCAACAACTCTGGCAGTTATTTATTTATATTGTAAGTTTCACTGGAATCTAGCACACATCCAATTTTTTCTCTGCACAAGAAAAATTCAGAATATTAAAAGTTGGGTCTGGGTGTTGTGAATGATACATGTTCTTATTATGATAAACATTTGCACAAAGTTATTTCAAAATCCCTTAACGGATGAAAAAGTTATGGACATGAGATATACCCCCATCAGAAAATGTTGGCCTGTGACCTTGACCTTGGAGGCAGGGATCTGGGTGTTGCGCATGACAGATTTCCTTATTATAGTGAAAATTTGTGCCTTTTAATTTAAAAATCCTTTGTGGTTATGAACAATAAACAAAATGTGACAGACAGTATAGACTGACATGCACCCTAAATGGAATAAGGGGCCATTTCTTCAGCTATTCTTTTGCTTTGTTTACAAATGACTTTTGGCCCCTTATCCTTTTGTTGCAGAATGAACTCTATTGTTCTTTTTTGTTCTGTTTACCCTTAGATTGCCCCCCAATCCCTTTTCAGTAATACGCACAGACTGACAAACATATAGATGGATGAACAGGGGGGCAAAAGCCCTCCCGCAGCAAATACTTATAAGTACATTGAATAGTTTGTTTTCTTTTCAATGCACTCAACAAATTAAAATTGTAATCATGAATATTTATGTTTTCCATTGGCATAAGCGTATTTGTATCAGCTTGAGCACATTCCTGACAGGCATCTGAATAATAAATGCTAAAATCTGTAAGTGCATACTTATTCCAGTAAATATGAAAGGATTACTCCTGTATGAAGTTAAGATTAATAGATTAATAAATGATGAAAAAAAGCTGAAATTGACTAAAATTGAGTGCATTGGAAAAAAAAAGGGATTTAACATACATTTTGTACATATAAATTTTTGTTACTGGAGGGCTTTTGTCCGCCATGTAAATTTCACAGGAGAGCTTTTGTCTGCCCAGTCATTTTCAGTCATTTCAACGAAAGGGCTTTTGTCCGTTTTGTCAATAATGGGCCGGAGGGCTTTTGTCAGTTTCCCATACAGTAATGATAAAGAGGAATATGCAAATTCCTGGGATCATCGAAGAATCCATTTGCAACTCTGCAAAAGTATTTTTCCGCAAAAGAGAGTGACATCCTGTGTGAAACATGTAAGAAGAGTGACACCAAGACAACAGTGATAGCTTGTCACTCCAAAAAAGAATGCCTGCATTACTCATAATGGTTTCTACCTGATGAAAATAAATGTAAATTGCTTATTTTCTTTTTATATTTCATTTTAGATCAAGTCTTTTTTTACAGTGAAACATTTTTCATGTAACAATGACGTGTGCATGATAGGTACATACACAAGCAACTAAACATCATTGGTTTTTATAACCGATTAATTTGGTCAATAGTAAAAATTATAACATTCCTCTTTTTTTTTACTTCTTTAGGAAAAAAAAATCAATTTGCATGATTTCAATACATTGTACCTCTTTTTTTAATATTTTATATCAATAACCTCAGTAAAAAAACTACAATGTCACCCATTTTTACATTGTTACTGTCAGGTTGTCAATCTTTTGTGCCCGAGAAATTTATTATCCAATTGGAGTAATGCTTTTTGTGATTTCTCGATATTTGCAGGATTAGCATATTCCTTGTTATCTGTACTGTTGATATACATGTATAAAAGTAAAGACCTTCTCTGGCTTTGTTGGTACAATGAGGTAGGTCGGTCCCTGGCATGGTGGCCATATTGCTATCACATGTTTGGTTGGCATTGTTACATCGGATTCTTCCTCTGACTCTGTGGGTGTGTCTATCTCCTCTAGCCTCGCCCCTTGTACATCTATCTGACCAAATGGTGTCTATCAATATATATGAGATTGTTAGTTTTAAGTATTAACAACAAACATGGTGGACATGATAGAGGGAGTCACAGACAATTGTTACCTATAAGCACAATATTTCTAAAGACCTACAAATATAATTTGACTGTTAAAGTCATATGACGACTTTCAGCCTCACTGGTGGAGAGATCTAAGATGCCTATATGTGTATAATTTCAAGCAAGAGCAGGCACTTGAGTAGACCCACAAACCTTCCATAAACTTGCTAGATACTTTCCTCATATGAAAGAATTGGAAGTCCCTGAGAAATATCCAGTGTTTTCTTTTGCTGAAAATGTTACCTCTAGAGTGCAACAAGGTTTTTCCATATTTGGGCTGTGTAACCCCGGGATTCAACAACTGTTCACAATGTGACAGTTATAAAGTATGGTGAGAGGATATAATATCTTACCTTATTTGATGGTGATCTATAGTATAAAGTATGGTGAGAGGATATAATATCTTACCTTATTTGATGGTGATCTATAGTATAAAGTATGGTGAGAGGATATAATATCTTACCTTATTTGATGGTGATCTATAGTATAAAGTATGGTGAGAGGATATAATATCTTACCTTATTTGATGGTGATCTATAGTATAAAGTATGGTGAGAGGATATAATATCTTACCTTATTTGATGGTGATCTATAGTATAAAGTATGGTGAGAGGATATAATATCTTACCTTATTTGATGGTGATCTATAGTATAAAGTATGGAGAGAGGATATAATATCTTACCTTATTTGATGGTGATCTATAGTATAAAGTATGGTGAGAGGATATAATATCTTACCTTATTTGATGGTGATCTATAGTATAAAGTATGGTGAGAGGATATAATATCTTACCTTATTTGATGGTGATCTATAGTATAAAGTATGGTGAGAGGATATAATATCTTACCTTATTTGATGGTGATCTATAGTATAAAGTATGGTGAGAGGATATAATATCTTACCTATTTGATGGTGATCTATAGTATAATGTATAGAGAGAGGATATAATATCTTACCTTATTTGATGGTGATCTATAGTATAAAGTATGGTGAGAGGATATAATATCTTACCTTATTTGATGGTGATCTATAGTATAATGTATGGAGAGGATATATATATCTTACCTTATTTGATGGTGATCCATAGTATAAAGTATGGTGAGAGGATATAATATCTTACCTTATTTGATGGTGATCCATAGTATAAAGTATGGAGTGAGGATATAATATCTTACCTTATTGATGGTGATCCATAGTTAAAGTATGGTGAGAGGATATAATATCTTACCTTATTTGATGGTGATCCATAGTATAAAGTATGGTGAGAGGATATAATATCTTACCTTATTTGATGGTGATCCATAGTATAAAGTATGGAGTGAGGATATAATATCTTACCTTATTTGATGGTGATCCATAGTAATAAAGTATGGTGAGAGGATATAATATCTTACCTTATTTGATGGTGATCTATAGTATAAAGTATGGTGAGAGGATATAATATCTTACCTTATTTGATGGTGATCTATAGTATAAAGTATGGTGAGAGGATATAATATCTTACCTTATTTGATGGTGATCTATAGTATAAAGTATGGTGAGAGGATATAATATCTTACCTTATTTGATGGTGATCTATAGTATAAAGTATGGTGAGAGGATATAATATCTTACCTTATTTGATGGTGATCTATAGTATAAAGTATGGTGAGAGGATATAATATCTTACCTTATTTGATGGTGATCTATAGTATAAAGTATGGTGAGAGGATATAATATCTTACCTTATTTGATGGTGATCTATAGTATAAAGTATGGTGAGAGGATATAATATCTTACCTTATTTGATGGTGATCTATAGTATAAAGTATGGTGAGAGGATATAATATCTTACCTTATTTGATGGTGATCTATAGTATAAAGTATGGTGAGAGGATATAATATCTTACCTTATTTGATGGTGATCTATAGTATAAAGTATGGTGAGAGGATATAATATCTTACCTTATTTGATGGTGATCTATAGTATAAAGTATGGTGAGAGGATATAATATCTTACCTTATTTGATGGTGATCTATAGTATAAAGTATGGTGAGAGGATATAATATCTTACCTTATTTTTGATGGTGATCCATAGTATAAAGTATGGTGAGAGGATATAATATCTTACCTTATTTGATGGTGATCCATAGTATAAAGTATGGTGAGAGGATATAATATCTTACCTTATTTGATGGTGATCCATAGTATAAAGTATGGAGAGAGGATATAATATCTTACCTTATTTGATGGTGATCCATAGTATAAAGTATGGAGAGAGGATATAATATCTTACCTTATTTGATGGTGATCTATAGTATAATGTATAGAGAGAGGATATAATATCTTACCTTATTTGATGGTGATCTATAGTATAAAGTATGGTGAGAGGATATAATATCTTACCTTATTTGATGGTGATCTATAGTATAAAGTATGGAGAGAGGATATAATATCTTACCTTATTTGATGGTTGATCTATAGTATAAAGTATGGTGAGAGGAGTATAATGTCTTACCTTATTTGATGGTGATCTATAGTATAAAGTATGGTGAGAGGAAGGATATAATGTCTTACCTTATTTGATGGTGATCTATAGTATAAAGTATGGTGAGAGGATATAATGTCTTACCTTATTTGATGGTGATCTATAGTATAAAGTATGGTGAGAGGATATAATATCTTACCTTATTTGATGGTGATCTATAGTATAAAGTATGGAGAGAGGATATAATATCTTACCTTATTTGATGGTGATCTATAGTATAAAGTATGGAGAGAGGATATAATATCTTACCTTATTTGATGGTGATCTATAGTATAAAGTATGGTGAGAGGATATAATATCTTACCTTATTTGATGGTGATCTATAGTATAAAGTATGGTGAGAGGATATAATATCTTACCTTATTTGATGGTGATCTATAGTAGAGAAAATATCCTCCCAACAACACACACCAACATTTTCTTGTTATACCATTCTTTACCTGCAATATATATAAACTGATGTTACAAATATAACCATATAACTTGTCAAAAAATTGTATAATAATGATATATCATCATTATAAACATGAACAGCTGTATGTGAACATATATTGAGACATGTTTTAGTCTTTCTATTTAACAAATCTCTACTGAGGAGGGGTAACATACGCCCAATGACAAATTTAAAAGAAGGTACCACAGACAAAAATATGCCCACAAGATGGATAGCAAACAAAAGCATCGCATGTTCAGCTAACACTTGTCTGTTAAAGGCAGCAACTATCAATAAAAGCAATTTAACAAAAATTCAGAGTTAAAAAATTGACACAAGTCAAACATATAGATTTCAGAATAATGCCCTAATGCTAACAACAGTAACTTGATTAACAAGTACTCCAAGTTTCATGTTGATACCTTTCATAGTTTTTTAAATGACTCTTTTTACAAAAATTCTAAGTTAAAAAGGGGCAAAATTCTGAAAATAAAGCTTTCAGAATTATGTCCCTTGTCCAACAGCTGGGCCTTGTCATGATAACCAAGTATTTCAAGATTATTTTTTTTATGTTGAACCTTTCATAGATTTTAAATCATTCTACTTAATCAGTCAATTTTGATAATAATTCTAAGTTAAAATATCCCTTGTTATACTATACAACTGTACCTTGTCACAATAAACATGTATACTAAGTTTAAAGTGAAAAGTTTTTACAATTTCTGAGAAAATGGACCTTAACGAAAAAGTTAACCAACACCAACAATAGCTCCAATTTTTTCTAGCTGAAAGCCCTTCTCTAACAGAACATTTAGCATGTACAGTTATAGATAATAATGGTAAGTCTATGATATAAATAAAGACCTTAACTTAATCTTTACAGTCTGACCACACTTTTTACTGTTTGGTTTACCAGTTTAAACAACCCACTAAATTAACAATGGACTGTACGTAAATCAAGGCATGACACTTCTTTTGCGCAATTTCAGGTGTATAAAGGTTTATGTTTAAAGCTGCATGCCTCCAGATGATTCAAAATATTTTAAGAAAATGAATCTTGAGAAATATTTTCTAGGATTTTAAAACAAGAGGGCCATGATGGCCCTGAGGTCGCTCACCTGTATATAGCCCCCCCCCCCCCCGGCCCAATTTTTACCCAAGATCTTTTATTTGTTTATTTGAACAGACTTGGTAGACACCCATAAGAACATGTTTCATGCAAAACATCTAAGTTCTAGCTCATTGGGTTTTTTAAAAGAAGATTTTTTAAGTTTTTACTATACACATATAGTTAATAAACAATGACAACCCCTCGGGGCAGGGCCAGTTTTAACCCCTGGCGCTTTTATTTGAACAAACTTTGTAGATATTTACTTAAAGATGTTTCATGCTTAATATCTAAATCTAGCTATTTGGGTTTTTTCAAAGTAGATTTTTAAGTTTTTGCTATACACATATAAGGAAAAATCAATGACCCCCGGGGCGGGGCCAGTTTTTGACCCCCAGGGCTTTTAATTTGAACATACTTGGTAGACACCCATTAGAACATGTCTCATGCTAGATATCTTAGCTCTAGCTCTTTGGGTTCTTTAAAAGAAGATTTTTTAAGTTTTTACTATATGCATATAGGGAAAATCAATGACCCCCTGGGGCGGAGCCAATTTTGACCCCAGGGCTTTTATTTGAACAAACTTGGTAGACATTCACTAGAAGATGTTTCATGCCAAATATCTAAGCTCTAGCTCTTACGGTTCTTTAAAAGAAGATTTTTTAAGTTTTTACTATATGCATATAGGGAAAATCAATGACCCCCCGGAGCGGGGCCAATTTGGACCCCAGGGCTTTTATTTGAACAAACTTGGTAGACATTCACTAGAAGATGCTTCATGCCAAATATCTAATCTCTAGCTCTTACAGTTCTTTAAAAGAAGATTTTTTAAGTTTTTACTATATGCATATAGGGAAAATCAATGACCCCCCCCAGGGCGGGGCCAATTTTGACCCCAGGGCTTTTATTTGAACAAACTTGGTAGACATTCACTAGAAGATGTTTCATGCCAAATATCTTAGCTCTAGCTCTTTGGGTTCTTTAAAAGAAGATTTTTTTAAGTTTTTACTATATGCATATAGGGAAAATCAATGACCCCCTGGGGCTGGGCCAATTTTGTCCCCAGGGCTTTTATTTGAACAAACTTGGTAGACATTCACTAGAAGATGTTTCATGCCAAATATCTAAGCTCTAGCTCTTACAGTTCTTTAAAAGAAGATTTTTTAAGTTTTTACTATATGCATATAGGGAAAATCAATGACCCCCCGGGGCGGGGCCAATTTTGACCCCAGGGCTTTTATTTGAACAAACTTGGTAGACACTCATTAGAAGATGTTTCGTGCCAAATATCTAAGCTCTAGCTCTTAGGGTTGTTTAAAAGAAGATATTTAAAGATTTTTCTTTTGGTTGCCATGGCAACCAGAGTTCTGCATGGAATTAAATTCTTTGAACAATTTTTAAAGGTGACCACCAAAGGAACATTCCTGTGAAGTTTGGATGAAATTGGCTCAGTGGTTTATGAGGAGATGTCATTTAAAGCAAAAGTTTACGGACGGACGACGGACGGACGACGGACGGACGGACGGACGGACGCCGGACGAAAAGCGATCACAAAAGCTCACCCTGTCACTTTGTGACAGGTGAGCTAAAAAGTAAAAAGATTCAAGATCCAAGTAAAAATTTACATATTATTTGCAATCAGTTACTTATTTTGGTGTATTTATCACCATATTTATACTGCGTTAGTAACGCAGTAAGGTTTTTTCCCCCGCAATTTTGGCATTCTTTTCGGTAATTTATGTGGTTTGTAAGCAACGTTTGCAATGTGTCAAATACATTTTTTGTTCACTTCACAATATTTTACTTTTAAATAAATTTTCAAAATTTCCATGAAAATGAGCATGAATGTGGAGGCATGCTGCTTTAACCCTTTACCTCATATATACACAAAACAACACACTTTCGACCCGCCCCCCTCTTTTAGGCCTCAAATAGTGAAAAAATGTCCTATTTGGGCTCCAAACACATGTTTTCGTTTGAGAAATGTTGCTAAGATAAGTGAGCACTTTTTCAGCGCCGCCCCCCCCCCCCATCCAAAAGATACATCAGGGGGATGTGCCCCCTTCTGTTTGGGGGGGTTTGAAGGGGGGCATTAGTCCCCCTCATCGCCAAGAAAATTTTGGATTTGTGAGAGGCTAAAATTGACCCAAGGTCTATCATAAGGTAACGTGTAACCAATGCTGAAAAGCCTTTGACTCTATCTCAATCCCTTGGGAAGTTGCAGCACTTTGAAATAAATTTTGATGGAAAAACTCAAGGCAAAATAGTGATTTTTGGCAATTTTGAGATGTCCCCTCGTTGCCATGGTAACAGGAAATTTAAGACTGAGCATGTCGTTACAAAGGCAATGGTCCAGTCAACATTTGTGCCAAGTTTGATTAGTATTGAAGCATTTTTCATAGTTTGATAGCAGTTTGAACTTGTAACAGGAGACTTTTTAATGAAAACGGCCCTTTTTCACAATATGCTCATAAGGGAAAGGGTTAACATATTGTTACCTTGATGAGAAAACCTTTGATGACAGCTTTAGTTTCGACCTGATCTAGAAGATAACTTGTGGCTTGTCTCTTTAACACTTTCTGAAGAACTAAAATCACAAAAATATCTGTTTTAAAACTTATCAAAAACTGAAAACTAAATCAAATATGTAAAGGTATACAGTATTTATGCATTTGTATCAGTTAAAGTGTAATTATGATTCCAATAAGACCAACCACACGCGTACATTCAATTATTTTTTATTCATATCGATTTCGAACTAGTATGTTCTTCGTCAGTGAATAAACAGGAAGAGACGTCACATGATGTCAACGTCAAAGATGGCGGGAAATATACATTGTTACTTTACGTTATATTAAAATCCATTAAAAAATTAATAAAGATTTCAATATATATATATATATATATAAAAATTCACGGATTATGAAATGCAAGTATTTCCTATATATATATTTTTTTTTTAAAGTGTAATTGAAATCACAGCATATTTTGTTCACAGACATACAAAGAAATATCATTGAAATAACCTTGGACATGAAATTAGAAGCATGTATGTATCAATTTACTGTTTTCATTTTCAACAGAGAATTTTTCAGTTCACTTCAATTGACAACAGAATAAAGTTTATGTTAGAGTAAAGGGGAATAACTCAAAACATTACAATTAACCATTTACTCTGTTAGATCCTGTAACTCAATTTTTTACAGTTTTATATCATAAATATAATGCTCAAATAAAGATTTATCAATATTGCACCTTCCAAAAAGCATCATTTGTTAAGATATTGCCTAATTTACATTTCATGTTAATAAAGGGAGTTATTCTATAAAGTCTGAGTCAATTTTTCAATTAGAAATGAACGCATAAATGATTATATATACGGACAAATATTTGCAGTACATATTTTACATATTTTTGAATGTTTGAAAATTGTTTTAGAAGCATAATTATATAAATACATTGTATATAAAATTTCACTTAAGCGTGGTAACTACCTTAATCTTTAACTGTACTAAAATTGAAGTTGTATGAAATGTTTTTTTGTTTGTTTGTTTTCTAGTAGTTTTTATTTCAAAGATGGCTCTCAATTTTTCTTACATTAATTGAGAGAAGAAAGAAGACAATAAGAAAGGTAACTGTAATGAGTACCTCGAACCCATCTGTCCGTCTCTGTGTACGTGTCAGCTGAGAGGTAATATGTTCTTTTATCATGGAGGATCTGAAATTCAATATAGTATTTTATACACAATAATATTGAAATTCACATTTTATTTTGTCTTTTTAACCTTTGAATAAGGGCTAACCTTTATTGCAATATTTGCATGTATCTCAATGTAGGTTTAGTGCATGTCTTTTATGTACACTGACTTCAATCATCAAGAAAATTCATCTGATTATTTCAAAATTCCACAAGTAACATTTCACATATATTATTTGGCTATATTAAAAACTCAATTTTCATTGAAAATATGAAAAGGCAATTTTATGTGTTCTTCCCAAAACAAGCAACAATGAAGACAAAGTTAAATGTGATAAGTTATGTATAACATGTTCTGCTGTGTTTGATAACAGAGTCGACAGGACATCCAAATCTTATAATTTTTTCTCATATTCTATTTACCTCAAATGTTAGTTCTCCGTGAGTCCTGGAAATTTTAGTCTGGTCATCAAATTTTATACATCCCTGAGGTTTCTTGAGCATATCATGCTGAAAACCAGTCAAAAATTGTAATTTCTAGTTTTTATATGTACATCATAAAAATATATATTGCTAATACAAATAAGGCTTTAAGATTTGAATAAATCAACTATGAAATAGTAACATATACACATTTATTTTCAGTTTAATATTCATAACTGAAATATTAATAATAATATGAAATATTTCTTCATAACATACAATTTACATTTTCACACTTACAGAACGATAGAATGACTAAGTACAGTACAAAATAGCCTATTTTACATGACATGAATGGTTTGACCTTATGTATCACTTTTCACAAGTGTTGAAATGTTAGAAAAGCTGGCACTGCCTATAAAAAAATTCATGATGTCTCTTTTGCAAGTCTAATCAATTGGACTAATACAAACTGTTAATACCCCACACCCCCTCCAAAAAAAAGCTTTAGTTTCTTAAAGAACAAATTCAGTAGAAATATAATTTACAATATTCATTATTGTGATGTCCTGATTTAATGACATCATATCTGGAGTAATTATCTAAGTTAACTTTTATTTCTTCATAAATTGTGACTTATCACAGGAAATCATTTGTTTCTAGTTCTTTGTTGTTTACTCCAGAAGACATCTTGATAAAATGCTGTTTTATAACAAAATCCATTAATCAATACATTGAAATATAAAACAGAAAGAAAACAAGTTTAAATAAAGGAAATGCTCGTTACCATGGAAATAATTCTGACACTCACCATTGATTAACAATAACAGCATAAGTAAGGTTTAAAACAATTTTGAAGAAATATTTAGAAAAAAAAAAAGCATTAATTTTCTGTTGTTGAATGAAGATGAAAAATGTATTTATCATGCCCAAGTTCTTTTCATTAATTTTAAAATCAATAATGTATTCACATGATTGGAATAATTCATTTATTCTGTTGGTCATGTGACTGTGATAAAACACTCATGCTGATGATTTGTTGTTTATCTTGATTAAATGACTAAAACTAATAACTAAAAATTCTTTATAGGTTTAATACTAACTTAATAAAAATGGACTAGAAAAAGCATTTTCGTGAAATTTTAGAGGAAAAAAAACTTGATCCTAAAATTAATCTTTATTTTGATTTGATTATTGTTGTATTTGTATAATTATTCCTAAATTTTACCCCAAAAAATAAACCATTTTATTTTAGCCTATTGCAATCTATTTTCATTTCATAAACCAATGAAAATAAAATCTAGAACTTTGATCCTGATCCAGAGTTTTTCTTAGTGGACAATCAGCCTGGATTTTCAACATTATTTCTCTAATAAAACATCGTACCTGAGACTTGTAGTAGAAGAGTTCCGAGCCCCTGAGTACAAACCATCGTTTCTTCCAAGTTTTTACCTTTCCACCAAGTTTGGATAGATATCCACACTTATCAAGTGTGTCCTGTAATATGATTGTCTAATATAGTATATACACTTAATTTTTAAAATAAACCTATAGAGACAAAGTTTTCCTACACAAAATAGAACATAAACAAATAGTAATGTACAGTAAATAAAATGAATTAAAAAAAACTCAATTTTAAACTTTACTCATATGTACATTGGACTGTAATCTCTAAGGAAACACAAACTGTGAAAAAAAATCTATGTTCATTACTATTTAACCTGTATCTTGGTTTATCAATAAGATCATTGAAATACTGGTGATGCTTGTATACCATGTGAATTAAAACTTTAAAACAAAGCTATGAATACTGCTGTATTTCTGAACATTAATGTAACCAAATTTATATTCCTATATAAAAATTGCCACATTTTGTCAAGGGTATATAAATCATATAATTTCAAATATTTATAATTGTGTTTTCCAAATTTCAAAAGAAAAAAAGCAGATTCAGAGTGTAAGGGTTCATAAAAAAACATTTTAGCAGATATAACTCAAACATAATCTTCAATAGCTTAGATTGAAACTCGAAAGTGATTAATATAAGTTGTAAGAACTTGTTTCGCAATCAAGCTTAAAAACATGTGTTTAAACCAATAGCTTAGATCTATTTAGACAGATTAAAAATACATTTATACACTAAAACTATTGGTGAGAGAAATGTAAATTATTTTCTATATTTATTACATGTACAACAATAATTGTTTTGTGATGCTTGGTTATTTTTTTCACTCAATTTTAACAGTTATTCTAATGTAAATACCTTAAGATACTGGTTTTCCATAAAATATTAAAGTACAAACAGAAATTGACACTGACATAATAGTGTGCACATATATTTTAATTCATAATAAAAACACTGTTTAGGACAATATATTATATCTTTTTGTTGTGTTTAAACCAAAAGTCTATTCAGCTGTGTAACTCTATCAACCACGTCTAGACAATATATATTAACAAAACTTTTTTTAACCCATTAATTCACAAAATCCTGCAGATTTATTCGTGTAAACTTATATTCACTCAAATGCTATTAAAGCAAAATATTAATCGGCCACAAATATTCACTGGTTTACAGTATGTGAAATCATTAATCATATACATACATGTTTACTTTCTTCATATTTGAGGAGTTTTTGCTCGGGTTCTGATGTGTCAGAGTCGCTACTCAACGAGAGGTTGTCCGGAGGGTTGGCATAGTCACCAGACACCTCTGATGCACCAGAATGACGGCTTACACCTGTAAATTATCACCAAACAAACATATTGTTCAAATACAAAAAAATAATTTCACAATAATAAAGATAGATCAGAGTTAAAAATTTGTTACTATTAACTAACAAACTAAATTAATCTAGTATATTTTATGGTAAAAGTCGTCAGATTATTCTTTAATGAACAGAAACTTAAACAAGAAACTTAACATACTGTGTTAATGGGCATCTGTCAAGGGCAAGGACTATCATTCTGACAAAACTTCAAAGTTAAAAAAGGAACATAACACTGAAAAAATAGCTTAACTGCACCTTGTAATGATAAGCCAAGTATTCCAAGTTTCTTGACAATAATTTTTACAATGTTTGAATAATGGGCTACATTAAAATGTTTGCAGAACTACGACAAAGATGACACATCAATCATAATAGCTTGACTTTTTCTTTGAATCAGACAAGCTAAAAATACAACGTAAAAAATACACATTAACCATATTTCTCACAAAACCCTGATCAAAATTTTTAATTTAGCAAAATTTAATTGAAAGTAAATTGTTTGTAGTTTTATATGGTTTGTTTTGTTTGGGTCAGATTATAACATTATTTCAGTAATATACTGCCATAGGTAACAAGTGCTTCTGTATGTTCTCTGCAAGTCTAAACATTTTTTTTCTTTTCAAATACCTGTCAAATCTTTAATGTACATCATTTGAAACAACAGTGGGCCAAAATGGCATGATATATACATGTATATCTATTTTCATCAACAAAACATGATATATATAGAACATTTTACCCATTCCTCTTTTTGTGGCCCCGGAACTGCTCTGGTTAACTTGTTGTCTCCTAGCAATGGTACGTGGAGTGGCTGGAGCCCCTTCTACATCACTGGTTCCATCATCGTCTGATGACTCGCCACTCTCTTCACTAAATGGAGTGCTGCGTATTTGCATAGCTTTCTGAAGGTCATAAAGTAACAAGTGTATAACAAGAGCACCGCTAGGCGGAGCATTATATGCCCGAAAGTGATTTTTTTTTTTTAGTAAAGATGACACATTTGTAAGACAGGGGAATTAAATAAAGTATAACTTCCTTCAAATAACAATCCTCCTTTGAAGTTTCAATATTGTGGTCCAAATGGAACTTAAGTTATGCCCCAGAAACTGTTTTCAATTCTAAGGTAATAGTGACCTTGACCTTTGACCTTGTGACCCCAAAATCATAAGGGGTCTTCTACCCAATATGGACAATCATACTATGAAGTTTAAACACAGTAGGCCAAATGATACTTAAGTTATGTTCCGAAAACTGTTTTCAGTTTTAAGGTAATAGTGACCTTGACCTTGTGACCCCAAAATCAATAGGGGTCTTCTACCCAATATGGACAATCATCCTATGAAGTTTGAACACTGTAGGCCAAATGGAACTTAAGTTATGCTCCGGAAACTGTTTTCAGTTTTAAGGTCATAGTGACCTTGACCTTTGACCTTGTGACCCCAAAATCAATAGGGTCTTCTACCCAACATGGACAATCATCCTATGAAGTTTGAACACTGTAGGCCAAATGGAACTTAAGTTATGCTCCGGAAACTGTTTTCAGTTTTAAGGTCATAGTGACCTTGACCTTTGACCTTGTGACCCAAAAATCAATAGGGGTCTTCTACCCAATATGGACAATCATCCTATGAAGTTTGAACACTGTGGGCCAAATGGAACTTAAGTTATGCTCCGGAAACTGTTTTCAGTTTTAAGGTCATAGTGACCTTGACCTTTGACCTTATGACCCCAAAATCAATAGGGGTCTTCTACCCAATATGGACAATCATCCTATGAAGTTTGAATATTGTGGGCCAAATGGAACTTAAGTTATGCTCCGGAAACCAATTTGCTAACAGACGGACGGACAGACAGACGGATGGACGGACGCCAGGGGGTATAACATAATATGTCCGAAATTCTTTCGGGCATATAAAAAGTGGGACTATGGAGATATACATGTATAATGAACCAGCGGTAAACCTAAATCAATCTGAGATTATATATATTATCTGATCTCTTGTTCACTGTCTCAGCAAGGTTAATACTTTTGTTATAATATTTTTGGGAAGACTGGCTTTAAGTTACACTGTAAAGGTCAAACGGCGACTTTCCAACTTCACTCATTGGAGAATATGGCACTTCCTTCAGTATTTCAGGATAGATTCCTCACAAGAAAGAGTCCAAAGACACTGATGGCATTCACATCTACAGAAGAGAGTGGCTAAGGATTTAAAATCAGTGGTCTTATCACTAAGCAACAAAGGGCCCTTCTGCATGTGTGTTTGGATTTGTTTATCCTTGCTAAGAGAATAATAATTCATCTGTAACTGATATAACTGATATTATAAGCCTTTAAGTTATATCTGTACAAATGTGCATACTATATATCCCATTTCGAGGTCGTCCCTATCTACTAACAGTGATATTAAATAAGATGGGACAACTTGGACACTATGAATAAGAGGCCCCTTTAAACAATAGGTTAGTTTCAGAAGATGTGAAGAACTAAACTAAATTATTAAGTTAAATATAATTATATTGTAATACATACACACACTTACCCCTTTTAATGTGGCATACACTGGAACACTTACATTTCCAAACAATTCCCTTGCTGACGCATTATCTGTTAAAATACATATATAAACTAATATTAATGCAGGAATATATTTGAGAATTTATGCAAACAATAATCATCACTGCCATTCTGCATGCAACAAAACTGATTCTCTTAATATAACACAACAGTAAGATTCAGTGAATTCTCACAAAAGATTTAAGGGAAAGGG